TATATGCCATAGCAGAACTACCTATTTGATCCTTCTCAAATGGTTCTTCTATCTCTTTGAGATTTGCCAACAGCCTAATATCTGTAGCTATTTTATGAGCTGTTGATCCAAATGAACTAATCGCATTCAAAATATCCACATCAACTTTACGCGAATATGTTTGTCCTGTTACTGGATATGCTTCTTTAAAATCTAATAATTCAGTAACTCGTCTATCAAGTTCTTCTACCTAATTAATTTTTTAATTTTTATAAAATGTCAATTCATATTCATATATTATATATTGAGGTGATAGAAATTGTTTTCTTTTTCTATTCCCTCTCTTCCTCACTCTTCTTACCTTGTCATGGTCACCTTCAAATAATGCTAAAAATGATGCTTGTGTTCCTGTAGTACCTTTAACACCACGAAATGCGATATCATTTTTTGCACGTTCAAAATTCCTTAAATCCCAAAGTAATTCCTAAATAACCTTATCAATATTAATAAAGTTTCATTAACTATCCACACATAATATATATCTTGATTTTTTAAAAAAAAAAACGTTGTTCAACCTGAAGCCAAAGTGTAGTTCTTTTACCAACAGTGGTTAATTGAGCTGGTTGAAAATGAGTAAAACCCAAAGTTGGTAAACCTTTATAGGTATCAGCAAATCTACTCAAACGATCAATCACCACAACTAACTTATTTATCAACAATTCTAACCCATTACGTAAAATAATTAAATCTCCATTATCTGTTACATAGCAACTTGTTGCTCCCAAATGAATCACTCCAGCTGCTTTTGGTGCAACTAAACCAAATGTATGAACATGTGCCATAACATCATGACGACGTTTTTTCTCTTCTATTGCTGCTACTTTAAAATCTTCTTCGGTTAAAGTCTTTTTTTAAAAAAAAATATTTAACATTAGTAAATTTTTTATAAAGAAATGATAATAATAATAAAATAGTATTTTACCAAGTGTTCTTCCATTTCTTGAATGGCATCTTCAGTAATGCCAGGTATGCCCAACTCTTTTTCAGCTATAGCTAATTTCAACCAAAGTTTTCTCCAAATGTAACAACGATTAGCTGGAGAAAAAAGCGCCGCCATTTCTGGTGAAGCATATCGAGATGTTAAAGGACTTTCATATTTATTATTAACAGACATTTTTTGGTTATTTATTTTAAAAAACAAAAAAATAAATAAATTAGATTTGATAATCTATCAATTTAATCAATTTATCATTTCTGTAAATAATTCAATTGGATCAAAATTCTCACCAAAAATGATCTTACACAAATGACATTTCCATAACCGGCATGAATTCAACAATTATGAAATAAAAAGAATTAAAGAAAAGACAACATTCACAAATGTGACTTTTAACAACAATAATAAAGGAATTTATTTGATCCGAACATTCAAATATTTATCAAAATATTTTTCTGTTCAGGAACAACAATTAAAAAATTTCTTATGATTTAGTTTTAAATAAAAAGATAAATATTCAATTATAGTGAAATTAATCATCAACCTTATCAATGTTTTCATTTATCATTATACTAGAATCTAATGTATGTTAATTAATTAAAATTATTGTTAGTAACAATCAGTGGAAATTAGTTAGTAAGCTTATTAATCGTTTTAATAAAAAATAACTACCATGTTTATTACTGATGGTAGGACTTAAGGTTCTTGAGGAATCCTATAACCTCAAGAATTTGAAAGAAATGAAGTATCCAAGAATTTTCTTGGAATTGCAGCATTTAACTGTTCATCATTTAAAATGTCTGTACTACTTTTTGGTTGTTTTCCTATCATTTTATATCCAAAATCTACCAAAATATCTTTCAAATACCATGGATTCACTGCAATTTTTCTTGCAATACCCCATGGATCCAAAATTCTGGATCCAAATAAACACACAAGAATGGCGCCAATGACACCTATCGGTTATCAAAAAAAAAAAAAAAAAAAGATTTACACAACTTCTAACTTGTTAAGCTATTCAATTTAAATATACTAACCAAAGGCACCACCAGCTGATGCAATGGTACTTAGAATAGTGGTTGTGCTATATTATGGTTCATAAATAAGATAAATAATTGTATTAATAGTGATGTTTTTAATAATACTCTGTTTAAACTATATTGTTAACTTACCGCTTTTCAGAAATTTCTTCTTGTACAAAATCCCCAGCAGCAACTGAAAAATAACCATTGGTTCCATCTGGCATAGGTGGTGGATTCTGGTCAAAGGGAAAATAATTGACTATGCAATCATATCTCCGAGTAATTGCATAGTTGGGCCCAAGTCCAATGATGGCAGAAACATCCCGAGGTGGTATACTTTTATATATACTTGTCTTAAACTTGATCTAAAAGAAGTGTTAGAGAATAGATAACAAAAATAAGCATACATGAATAAGTGGAAAACGATCAATAATTGTGTGAAAAGATTCTACCAATGAAACGTGTCCTATTATTCCAGGTATAAAGTTCCAGTCAAGGTCAAGTCTTGATCGAACAGCTTTATCCATCTCACTGACATCCAGTAAGTCTATTTAAAAGGTATCAAAAAATTAGCAATTTTTACAATTTATTCTTCGGATGATAACAATTTTTTTAAAGAAGCTGATCTTTAGATTTGTTAGAAAAATTGACTATAATAATAATTAAAATTTACATAAGGGGAATCATCAGTAAAAGATGACCATCTATCTATCTATACAAAAACAATCTTACTAAAAGGTATGCTGGTTCAAATATAATTATCCTTATATAGTTATCAGGAAATTTACTGACCAGGTGAAAAAATCCTTATATTAATTAAAGGTACACCAATATTTTCTCTCACAGCATCCGTTGCATTATCGATCTTGTAATAAAATTTCAATTTTTTCAAACCATTGGGATTTCCAAGTATATACTGTATGTCTTTGTTGGCTTTAAAGGTATGACAACGTTTCCGATCACCACCGCCCTCAGTGACGTTAGGACTAGAAATGTATTTTTGGCATCCATTTTGGATCTCGGTTTGATTATTAAATTTGGTATCACAGCGTAATATTTCAAAGAAACCTGAAGAACAAATCTCCATGTCTATAAATAATAACAGATGTGAGTTTATTGTAAATTTAGTTTATTTATTGACAATAAACTTAACTTGGAATATCAATGTTATTTATATAATCGTATTTTGTAATAACCATTGGGTATTCTGTTCCAAGCTGGATTATTAAATAAACCGAGTATGAAACATAGCAAATACCAGCCAATACATATATGAATTTGCGAAAAATTTTAAATTTTGGTAAGTTGTTGTCGTTGCATTTCTATGAAGAAATTTAAATATATTAAAATCCATATTGAAATTTGTGACTATTGCAAATTTAAATTTTGTACCAACTTCAATTATAGCTTCTATATCATAATCATTATTAACTTTTGTTTTATCATCACTATTAGCTTCTGTTTTATCATCACTATTAGCTTCTATATCATCATCACTATTAACTTCTATATTATCATCATCATTAGCTTCTATATTATCACCATTATTAGCTTCTATTTCATCATCATTATTAGCTTCTATATTATTTTCGACCACAGTTTTTTCATTATTCTTGGCTTCTCTATTATCTTCTGCCTTAGCTTCTTTATCATCAACATCAATTATAGTTTCTCGATTATCTGGAATGCTAGTAGCAGTCATTGTTAATATACTAGCAAACAGAAAGTATAAATGGAATAACTTTTTCGGAATATATTACAACGATTACTACTACACAGCGATGCAATATTCCATAGAGTGTGACGTTTTACAACTCTAAAATTCTGTTATCTCGGAAATTCACGGATCCCTAATAGCTTACTGTGTATTAGAGAAAAAAGTTCGGCATATTACAGTAATGCATTATTAAAGTTTGAAAATATAAAAACATTACTCGCAACATTCTCTAAAAAAATCAAGCTTTGGGAAGATCCGTTGGAATTAATTATCTAATCCTTAATTCAGAAGGTTCTGAGCTGATACTGAGAATAGATATTGTAATAAAAATCAATCAATGAATTAACCAGATAAATTATTTTACCCTTGATGCTAATAAAAAACTAAGTTAACCAATTATTTGCTCTAAATCCATTTTGTTTTTAAGTTTTAAAAACAAACAACGAAAAATGTTATTTATTTTCTTTTATTGATTTCTCATTGATGTTTAGTTAAACCCATTAAAACAAAAATTCTTTGTTCTATGTCTTTTTTTGATTTCAATAAATATGTGAAGTTTTTTGAATGAAATAATTAATTTGGAAATTGTTTTGTCGTAAATATTTTTTAAAAAAAGACATTATACTTGTCTAAAACGGGGGTTTTTTTTATCATCAACAAAAATGTTAGATTGAGCGTAATTACCTCGATTCTTTATTTGGCGCAAGTAAAAATAATTTAAATCTGCTTAGCAATTTAAATTTAGCGATGCCATTGATTCCATAAATAGCACTCAGACGTCGAGCTAAACATGTTTTCTCAATATCAAATAATTCAATACTTCAAGTTTTGAGACATACACTTGACGAAACCTGAGGTAGTCACGTGATTGAAATTAATGTTCTAATTCCATGAGTAAAGTTTCTGGACAACACATCTATCTTCTTTTGTTCTTCAATCTTAGTGAATTTGGTGAGAAACATGTTATATTTGACAATGGTTCGGATTACAATGATGAATCAAAATTGGTTCTCTCACTGGATCATAAACATCAGTACATATCGCATTTATTGAAATTAGTTCAAGTATAGTTTTTCAACATACCAAAGACCTTTTTTTTTCGAGTCTCACGTATCACAACTTAATATTGTGTAAATAAATAAAGGAATAAATCAATAATGCTTTTACTTTTTTTCACGTAAATTTATGTATACAGTTAAACAATGCTTTTTACATAAAAGATAAATTCTATATATTTTATAATAAAAAAAATAAAGAAATTTTTAAATTGAAATTGATTCTTCATTTTAAATCTTGCCCAATGATAATAAGTAAATGGTGTGAATTCCAACAAATGGATTCTATCCATGCATCGCTAAGGTGTCATTGGAATTTTCTTTTCACGCCATTCTTCCATAATCGTTAGCTCCATTGTGGATGCCAATATATATGCGTATGTGTGTATTTATTTATTTATTTTTCCTCATCGATTTACTTTGTGTCATTATCCTTATTATTATGTAAGAATTTGAAATTTGAAATTAGCCAATCGGAATTTTGTACCTAAACACTCCATCCCAAAATTTAAAATTAGTAAATTAACGAGTATAGGGACATTCGGTATGGTATAACTCTTGCAAAACGTATGGTATGGTATTGCATAAGTGTAATAAAATGGTTGTATACCAATGCTTAAATCTAACATACTTCCCTTCACACCCACCAAAAAGGATTTAGAATAAAATTTTGTGTGACTTGGTATGGAAAAATATTTGCTGTACCATACCATACCATATGTTCTGCAAGAGTTATACCATACTGAATCTCTCCCTACTGATAATGTCATAGTTTTATATTTGATTAATAATAATGTTTGAATTTGTTATATTTTAAAAAATTGATTTGTTACACAAGTCAGATTTTCTATTTTATATATGGGGCATGCTGCAACAAAACCAGACAAAGTGAACATTGGTATTACCAGAATTTCAGGGTTCAAAATTTAGTCATTTGTAACGTGATTATAATTAACAGTTTTATAATAATAATATCCCATTTTCTATCTTGAGTGATATATAGAGCTGACCCCATATAAAAATAATAAAAATTTGCTTAGAATTAAATAATATTTGTTGTTATTTTTTTTTGTATATTAAAAAGATGGTGGTGATTATTAACCTGTTGCTTGCTACTCTAATAATGAAATGTTTCAAAGCAAAAACTATGATGACAACTTGGTTGAATCCAATATTGGTGATAGTGATGAACCTTTAGATATAGGTGGGGAAAATATTTCATGTTTAGATATAAAAAATTTTATTGATTTAAATCATATGTATGTAACAAATAGTGAAATATTAACTAAAGAATTTATTCATGACATGATGATCTTAATTTTGATGTTGACACTATTTTAAATAGAGTTAAAAATTAAATAAATCTTTTGTTAATTTGGAATTAAATAATGTCAGTTATTTGAATCTGTATATATATCCAATTTTTTGAAAATAAAAAATAATTGATTTGTTGTTTTGAATTTGGGATTTGGGATGACTTTGGGATTTGGGATTGGGCAATACTTTGGGCAGCAAGTATATACATAATTAAGAATTATATAGATTTCAAACAACAACACACAAGGACTTTGAAACTGCATTGAAAAAAGCAAGGCAGGATGGAACATGCAATAATATTATGGTAAAGGTTACATCAATTTAATTATTTACTTCTTATAATTCTTAAACTAATTAATTAATGAGTGATATTGATGTTTATTTAAAAAAAAAACTATTTTTGCTAAGAAATAAGCTATTAAATTTCAAGATACTTTCTAAAAATTCACTTTAAATGTGGATTGACTAGATTTTTTGTTGAAAAAAATTTATGCTCACTTAAATGAGATACTGGTTTACATAACAATTCATGAAAGACTTTAGCATTCCTTTTTACACGTGACTTATAGAAAAAGATAAATTTAATTTAGTAGGAGGAAATAAACAAAAATAATATATAATAAAATGAGATACAAACCTTCCATGACAGAATTTTGTATACGGCCTCAATACACTTGGGGAATGCTTCTACTGTCTTTGGGATAACTATATCTGTTGGATCAAATATACAAATTGTATCTTCAAATAAGTAATGTGCTACTGACAATGTTAATTTAAGACCTAAAAAGAGCAAACATCATATTATCAATTAATTAATATTTGTCAAATTTTTTATTTAGAACTCAATTTTCATATAACAATAAGTGACTATTTACCATTTGTCTGAATCATATATGTTTCAAATTTATGAATATCTGACCTTGAACTTGTAGGTAGCTCTAAGAATGCACTGGCTAACAAAACTTTACTGCAGTATTCAAGCTTTTTACAGTCATTTATCCTTTTATTAGGCACATCTTTTTTTGAAGATTCATGTAACAAAATCTCTGCATCAACTGACATCATGGTAGCTTTTGAATCAAGCTTAGGACCTGACCTAGACTGCAACTAAAGATGGGAGTCGCAATTGTTTTTCCAAGCCGCAATTATTGTGGATTTGGACTGGTGTTGCAACGTTGTAGCTGCAACTATTATAGGAAAGATCTGCAAATCAAAAATAATATTTAGTTTATACTGTAAATAAAAAAAAGTATTATTTTCTAAATTGTTATCGATATGTTTATAAGAACAAAATATAACTTTAGAAATAATTTTATTTTGATACCAAAGAATAAATTTTAGTTGTAGCTTATAAAAAAGAATTGCAGAATTGCGGAATTGCGGACAATTGCAGACAATTGCGGATATAGAAAATAATTGTGGAATTGCGGCTTGTTGCAACAAACCATAATTCCGCAATTATTTTCTATATCCGCAATTCTGTACAAGCTCTGCAATTCTTTTTTATATTTTTCATGTAAGGGAAAAATTGATTTAAAAAAAAAAAAGATTTTTATCTTATTTTTTATATAAAAAAAATGTAAAAATGAATAGTGATATAAGTAACTCAACAGGAAGTGTTGGTAGACGTTTTACTGAAGTGTGGGAACATGTTACTAAAGGGAGAGAAATTTCTCGTGGTCATTATGAAGGAACTTGTAATTACTGTGAACAATATTGGTAAAGATGGGAACTACAATAATTTTGTCACAATTACAAATTTAACCAAAATATCTGCAAACATTAAATAAAATATTTAGTTTGTAAAGAAATGATACCAAGAATAAATTTTAATTTGATTTTATAAAAAGGATTTTTGAGATTTGCAAACATAAAAAATATTTGTGGAAATATGGATATTTGCGGACAATGGAAATATTTGCGGAGTTGCGGATAATTGCAACATGTAGTTAATTGTGGACATTGCGGAATTTAAGATGATTCTTTGCAATGTTGCAGCATTTCAATTGCGGGACCCATCTTTATATTGGATCCTAAACAATGCAAGTAATTTAATTAATTAATTAATATTATTATAATTGAAAAATTGTAATCATGATGAAATTGTGAATCATTTAACCACATATTTTTTTTTGAAAAAGAAAATAAGTAATAATATATATTAATATTTAATTTTTGTTGCATAACAATATTGTTCACCTATATTAATATATATAATAATATATTATTTTTTTTCCACAATTTTCTTTTTTTTTTGCATAACTAAATCTGTTTTTTTTTGAAAGAGAAAAGTAATTAATATTATAATGTAATATAATATAATAATAATATATATAATGATTTTCTTTTTTTTTTCTTACTAGCCACGTAACAAGATCCGTTTTTTTTTTTGAAAAAGAAAAGTAATTAATATTATAATAAATAATAATGTAATATAATATAATTTATATAATAATAATATATATAATGTTTTTCTTTTTTTCCCCCTTACTATAGTGCAAGTCACTTAGTCGCTGAACTTTTTGTGCTACACCGCCATTTTTTGAGAAAAAAATTTCCAATC